CTTGATATTTTCTTGGCTTCAGAGGATGGCTGTGTTTGCAATATTGCGTTCATGAATTTAATTGAAGCTGAAGATAGGTACAATTCACAATATGGTGCTGGAACATAAATCCACAGGGAGCAGAGAGCAGAAATAAAGTCTTAAACAGCTGAAGAGCACCACCTCTGTGCTCAGTGAAGAGCTTCATGCCCTTGAGAAAGAAGCTCTGGCTGCAGTTAGTGCAGATCCTGTGCCTCACAGGGCTCACTGTGCTCAGTGCACTGTCACTGTCACGGCCACAGACGTGTCCTGGACTTGGCTCTTCAGCTCTGGGGATGCAACTTGAGGGAGCCACACCTTAGCAGAACACAGTAAGGTATCAAGGCTGTGTAGGGAACCTGCAGTTTCCTTGTCAAATGAGATACTTGTTACTGTCTCTAATAGCAGCAGTTTGTCAGAGGGTGGATGCTACCAGAACACAGCAGCTGAGCCTGTAAAAAACACTTCAAGTCTGACCACTGACATTTGTCAGGGACAGTTCAAGGCAGTATTCAGGTTATTGAAGAGCTGAGAATTAACRAGATGGATCCATGATGGGACTCCTTGTAACCATGAGGAGACAGAGGCAAATGAAAGAGGGTCATGGGTGCCCTGGCCTTCACATCCTGGTGTGGCTGCATGAGGTGGGCAAAGCATCTTTTCATGGCTATTCCTCTGTTTCCTGGGCTTGTGTACCCACACCGAGACATTCTTGAAGAAGCATAAGAGKGTTTCTCCATCAGATTCTGCCACTAGTTATTTAAAATACATTATTAATAAACTCCAGGACTAGTGAAAAAATAATTTACTGTCATTTAAACCTTAAAGTGAGCATATGGTGATCTGACAACTGGGAAGTGCTTCTTAGTCTCGTAGTCTAGACACAGCTGAAATAATTGGCATTACCTCTGCGAAATTTTACTTGTACTAAAAATATAAGAGGTGAAATACTTCTGGAAAAAATATGGTAAATGAATCAGCTGCATTGGCCAGCTGTTTTGTTCTTTATGATCTGTGCTTCTCTGGACTGTGGTCCAAACTACACAGAGTTTTGAGCTTTCCCATCAGGACAAGTCTCAGCTGCCTCTGTACTGATCTCACCACAAGTTCTATTGACTTCAGTGCCACAGCATCCATTGTGCCCATGAACTGGGCAAGGAACCAGTAAACTCACAGCAAGATTTAGAAAAATGCTCCACCCAGRAGCAGGAAAACTTTGACACAAACAGAAGCACAAGCAGGTTTGCTGAGCAAGATCTTGCCAAGACCAAATGTTTTAGTGAAGAGATCCAGGCAAAGATAATGTGGATGTGGCAAAATTAGTTTGCGTGTGTGGAGGCAAAGAGAGAAGATACAGAGAAATAAATTTGTTGGGCAGGATGGCAGGGGAATTTTCAGGAATCTGCCATTGATTACAGATGCATTACTGTCAGGTGCAAGGCTTATGTGAGTTGAGATTTATCTCTCAGATGTAATATCCAGTGGGTGACTCAGTTAATGATAACTCCTTTGTCCTGTGCTTCTCTAGATCAAGCAGTGCAGATAATTATGAATAATGATAATGATTTGGATCTCAGAGAGAATTTGCACAGATAGGCACACACCTATGGGTGATGTGGCTCCATGCACAATAATTAAGGACGTATGCCAAGGGAAGTGAAACAGAAAATGGGTAAAATAATTCCTTCGCAAGAAGATTTTTTTTTGATTTCACACCTGAAAAGTTGTACTATGTGCTATAGCAGGTAGCTGGCAGACTGATTTAGAGCTCATGGACCTGAGAAAACAGAGGTTTTACATAAATAAGAGCAGGACATAGTGCAGAAATAAACACAAACACTACCTTTGTGCCAACACATCAAGGAACAGAGCAGTGGCACACAGAGACACCAGCTCTTCTGAAACTTTGAGCTGTGTGAGGACCTTGCCATGCCTGGCTCCCAGACACCTGGCAGAGCCACCCACACCTGGGCCAGGACCAGCCAACCCAAACCTGCTCGATTCCCTCTGCCCAGCAGCTCAGTGTGTTCTGTAGATGAGCAAACCTGCTGAACATCCTCAGCCACACTGCTCTGAATTGTCATCAGCGTGGCTGCCTGCTCTTAACCGAGAGTGGAAGTCAGTCCACTGAACTGTAGGAGGTAGGGGAAGGGTCCCACAGGGATCTAGTCAAGTTCCTCTTGTAAGGATGAGGTTTCACAACACAACAAGGTTACTTAAAAAACTTGTTTCTGTGAAAATGCCACTTACATTTTGCTCCYAGTATCAACATGGCAAGTAGGACTTTCTCACACCCTGCGGCAGCTTCCAGAGGAAAAGTTCATAGGCTTATCATTTCATCAGCTGCCATCAGTTCAAAGGAGAATTTTGTCATTTCATGTTCTTAAGGCATTTCAGTGGGCTGTCTATGTGGGAGCAGCAGCTGACGTCAGGGAAGACTGTCATCTAGCAACAGGTATATGGGGGAAACAGCCCTCTTCTACATCTCCAAACAAGGAAAGTGCCTCAGAGCATCAAGATCTTTCAAGGCAGTATCTCCTGTCTTTGGAAAAAGCCATCATAGCTGGAATTTTTCTCTACTAACTTGAGTCTCGTTATGTCTGAAAGTATCCATGTATTAACTATTATCCCTGKACAGGTAATAGGTAATGTACACAGAGTGAGGCACTTCCAGAGGGTGATTTGGCTTTTGGTGGCCTAAATAGCTTTAATGTCAGTGTCAAGCTCTTCAAATTCACCAGTTCACTCTCTCTTAAGATTTTCTGGGCCTGATTCAGCTTCAGATTAAGGCCCCTCCATTTGGATATCTGCATGCCAGTGTTTATATGCCCATTATATCCACAAAATGTTATCATTAGATTGGGAATTCAAGGGTTGGATTCACCTTTGCATCCAACCAGACTGAACCTCTCTRTTATTGATGTGCCTTAAGGCTCATCAGCAATCCTAGCAGATTTTTAACTACAAAGCTGCTCAAGGTGTCCTGCAGCATTTGCTCGGGGGTGCCTTCACCTGCAGTGCCCCTTATCAGGGGTGAGCAGCTCTTGCTCAGCATTACTGAGTCCGAGCACACCACAGTGAGCACTGCACTGACAGCAGCATCATGTCCCTTACAAAGCTGCTGTGGTCTCACAGCCTGGCCTACCCCAGTCAYGGGAAGTGTCCCCAAAAGACAAGGTTCTGTTCCCAGTCACTTTGTGCTGTGTGCCAGAGAAGCACTGCTCTGTGCTGCTCTGACAGGACCAGCTGCCTGCATGGTTTTCATGGAACTTCTTCAGCTCCCACTACAATTCACAGGAATGCACTTCATCTTAATGGACTGACCATCAAAACATCTCTGTGCAACAGAGAACTGCTGTCTCAACAACACACACTGCAGYATGAGAAGACAGAGCTTTCTGCTGCTTTCTTGCATCAAAGAAAAAATTGTCTCAATTACAGTAAAAATTCTACACATTGGCCAAAGAGGCTTCTCTCTGAAGGGTGAATTTATCTCTCCCAGTGCCATGTAGTCATAATCCCCTGGGTTTTGACAATGCAGTGCAGAGTCCAGCTTAGCCCAGCYTCCCCTTCCCCACAAGCTCCAAGGATGTCCCACAGGAGAGCAGGCATGGTGGAACCATTGAACTGACTGCCACAAGCAGCTCCAACAGCATTTGTTCCTCTTGATTTCAGTGCAGGAACAATGTAGTTCTACAGCTATTCAAGTACTTCTGTGAAAACTAATCACCAGTGGTCTAAAATTAAAACCTGTCACCTCCTGTTACCCTAAAGGAGAAGGATGACTCCTTGCTAAGGACATGAAGTGGCCAGGACACGCATTTTAGTCTCCAACAGAAARGAGAGGGGACAATAGCACATTTTCTTTATTTTCAGTGGCACAGCATCTGACTGCAAGGCAAACTGCCTAACGCTTTCTGCAGGAATGTAATAGCTGACCTTTCCTACTAGTTCCCATGGGTACTTTGAAAGACTCTTTCTAGAAATAAGTCACACTTGTCTGCTGAATAAAATAAAGGAAAATATAACTGGACTCTTTCACTTTTCCAGGAAGCAAGTTTCTTCAGTGTCTCAGAAAAGGCTCTGAATGTTTTTTGGTAAAATGAACCTAATTAGCTGCAGATTGAATCCCAGATCAGCAACACAAATACAGAATATGACAAGGAAACTTAAAACACCTTCAAGCAACAAGTACAAGCCTTGGACAGACTGAGGTCAATACAATATTTTCTGGTATCTTAATTTGCCTGTGAGACTGACTGTCWTCAAACAAGGCAGCGGCTGCAAAGGCCACGGTAACACCAAACTGCTCTCTGTCATCACAGCTTCAAGGCAGCTGCATCCTGCACTTAATTCCCAGCAGAAATRCCTTATGAAGAGAGAATAGCACTAGATTCTGCTTCCAGCTGAGCATAGCTGGATCTCAGAATAGCTCTACAGCGATATAGCTATATCTCAGTATAGCTGAGAGGAGAATTTGACCTTTGGTAACTTTATTAATACTGAATTAACAGATGGCTTTGGACTTTACTTGACATTGTTTGCCTATCCCTGTGTCTCACTGTCCTTTCTGAGAGCTCAGACTCCACCTCTACACACAGTGAAAGAGGGGGCAAGGCCCCCAGTCTCGAGAGAGCAGTGGAGCTGAATATCCCTCCTCTGCAACCTGCCCTGATTGAGCAGCTGGTTTCACCCTGGATGCAATGCCTCAGTGTTTTCAAGACTTGTTACTCATGTTTTTGACATTTTGCAAAGGTTATTCTGAAATTTCTATTAAAACAAAGTGGGAGAGGTGCCCGTGGAAAAATACAGCACTGGCACTCGGAGCCCCATTACAAAACACATTAAATTAAATGAAGCAGCACCGATACAAGAAGTTTCCACCAAAACCCCAAGATTTATCACAAGCATAACCTTCTCTTCTTAATGTAATTAAACCAGACTCCAAGCAGTACAAACACAGGAGATTAAGCTTGTCTTACCTGGAATAGGTATAATGGGAATACTTTCATTGGGGACCACACGGGGGGAACTGCTGTCCTCCACATAGAAATGAGCAGTCTGAAAACACTTTCTGTTAAAGAAAAAAACAACAAAAAAAAATTTCAGGGTCTGAAAAACTGCTCTTTGAAAAAAAACAGACAAAAACTTTTGCACGTTTTGTTTCTCCATTTCTGTTCCACGCTTTCAGATGTTACAGTTTTTGAACATCGATACATGAAAACATATGTGTGTTTTCTACAATGACAATTCTTATTCCAGATTCTGGTGCGCTCTAATTCATTGACATCTGACATCCACCCATCATAAATGCCTCTMTATATTATTGCTAAGTACTACTGAATATGAAATTATACTCATAAAAGTTAGTGGCTGCAAAACAGGTTTCAAAAACATCATTCAGAAAGAAACTCTGCACACAAGAAACACATTCAGCATACAATTCAAGCCCAAATCCACCTAAGACACTCGCATATCCAGGGAAAATACACTTACTGTAAAAGTTTCTGCTGTCTACCAACCAGCAGACAGTAATATAGCATCTGTAACTGCTGCATATCATGATGTTCTGATATGAAAGTTAACCTTCAAACATTAGGTTTTTTTTTGTTTGTTTGCTTTTTAACACTAAAGCCACATAACCGTCATCCCATCCTCCTCCTGCAAACTTGTATTACATATGCTGKTACAGAAAAATCCAATAGACACTTCTCATGGGCCCCAGGATGCCTCTCAGAAAAGGCCTATAAAGAACAGAACTTAAATCCACCTGACTCTTTTTTACCTGTATTTAATGCAAAGCAGAGAGCACAAGCTGGTCATCACAGAAAAGGTACTGAGCAGAATAACATCAAGAGATCCAGGGAGACTCTGCATGGTGATGTTAACTGAGGCAGGGTTTTCCAACACCAGCGTCACTGCTCATTGCTGACTTAATGAGCTGCTTGAGGCTGGAACTGAATATTTAATGAGTCTTGCTTGGTGTGAGCAGCTATTGTGGCAGTGGAAGGGTCTGCTCTCATCTGTCGGGGCGCTAAACAATAGCTCCCCACTGCAGAAAGATCCCCCTCACTGGCATCCTTCAACTGCTCCTCAACACCTGGGCAAAGTTTGTGGGGGCGTGGTGAGCTGTGCCTGTGTCAGTTTGCTGGTTCCCTTGCTCAATTATATTTGCACATGTGGCTTCTGAGCTGCTGCCTTGCAGTTCCTGCAGTTTGCTGCTCCCCGACTCGGGCATTGTGCTCTCTGTGCAGAGCCGCCCCGCACTCCGGCAAAGTCATTCGTGTTCCCTTTGTTTCCAGCATCCACACATGCCAGAGGGAAAAAAAGTCACTGAAAACCAAACCACTCTGTTTAGCGAAATCAGGATCTAAAATTATCACGGGCACTGGCTTTCCATGCATCTGCACTTTCTACTGCCCGGGCACAGTGCTTTTTAATGCAAGAACAAGCTAKGGCAGCACAAGAACAACTTAAGACAACACAGAAGCAGGAGAGAGTGGATTTCACAGCAMGGAGTCACTGTCTGGGAGCAGCTTTCTATTTTCAGGCATGATGGCTTGCATTCTGCTGAAGTTATTTATTTAGTGAGTATACTTTTGTTAAGAAACACCATAAGGTGAATTCACACATGAGGATGCAAGATGTGCAATAGTCTCACAGCATTTAAAAACATGGGTTGAACTCCCCCCGCCTCACCACTTGGTCCCTGTTCTCATTTTTTTTTGGCAGCCTTTATTTTGGACAATGCACACCCTGGGGGCACGCAGCAGAATAAATCAGTCACACATAAAGAAGAAACTATGAATATGAAACAGGCAAAATGTTCCTGATTTTGATGTATTTGGGGCTCTTTCCCTTGAGTCAATACTACAGAAATCCTTGAATGGCTTCTCCTGGTAATGAAGGCCTTAAAAAGGTGTTWGATAAAAAGACAGACCTTTATGCAGGGATTTACAGGATTTTTTAAGCTTATGATATTGAAGAAAAGCAATTATTTTTGTTAATTTGTWATTTTATAGTCTGAGAGGCTGGCATTATGGTTTTATACACTGTCATAAGATGGCTTTTTCTTAATAGCCTGAAAACATGTAATTGTGTCAGAGAATCACATTGTGCAACATTTTAAGGCCCGTGATGGCAATAGCTGAACACTCAGCCCAGTGCAACTCTACTGAGCACAATCTTGGATTAAAAATGTATTAAATGAATATTTCACATAGTAAAGTTTGTTAYAATCATTAATGTCATTAAAAATCCTGCAATTTAGTCCTGGAAAACTGTCTACAGCTGTTTTGCAAAGGCAGACACTGTAGACTTTGACTAAAGTCACAAATCTTGTCTAGTGMAAATACATGCATAATGCAGCACTTTTGTCACTTTACAATACTGGATACTGGCATGTTAGGTGAAGACATGCCTCTCAAATTCTTTTTTTTTCTCCAGTTGCTCATGATAGCTGTAAATATTCTAAGTTTAGCCTTTACAGCTGGGCTTGCTGCACACAGGCCATCACACCCCTGTCCTGGTGACTCCTTCCATGTCTCAGATCTTTAAAAGATCTTTTATGGGTTTAACAAACTCGCTGGATGAATTTKCCAGCAAATTCTGCTTACTGGGTCTGTTTCCCACTCTTGCATCTTTCCTCTGTGCAGCTYCAGCAGGGAACACACATCTCGGGGTGCCAGGCAGATGACTCCAGTTTGGATAATGTCCATTTTTCCTGAGTGAGGAAACACCTGGCCCCAAGAAGAGCCTTCTGGAAACTCATGTCTGGTTTGTAGTAATAAATACTGATAGCTGCCATCAAGGCTACTGAGAGGCATTTCAGACAATTCAGCATCTGCCTTCTCCCCCTGTTTAGGATGCTCCTTTCTATCCCTTGGCACTTCCCCTACCCATTACCTTTTCCTCCAGACACAAACCTTAAGCAGCAGCAGTTGCTAAGGCTACAAGAGGCTGCAGTAAATCTGAGTGTGTATGTGAGGAGGGCTGGATAAAGAAAAGGATGAGAGCAGGAAATTGCTTGTTCYGAGCCACCAGAGAGGGGAGAGAAGGGAGTGAATGCAGGGCTACACAAGGTGAAAATCTACACCTATTTTCACATGAGCACTTCAGTCTGTAACTTTTAACCCCAGTGTGTATAAACGGGCAGGTGTTTGCACCTGTGCCCATTTGCTCAGGAAACCAGTACTGTCAGCAGAAAAAGATATCAGGCTTTTTGCCCAATAGAAGCAGTCCTTATGAATGCACAACTGAGATTTGTCATGGTGTAAATGATTATTAAAATCTTAACATGTGAAACACTAATTTTAGGATAATTACTGTATTTCCRCAACACTGGTTGAGGAAAAGCAAAWCACAACCTTGATTTCACTTCCAAAMGATTTTGGGGAGCCACATCTTTTCTGTGAAATACCAATGAGTCCATTGTCTCTGAAATGTGCCCGTGAGCAGTGAAGCACACCGTTTTCTCTAGCCCCATATGTTTTTGTGGCTCCCTTTCCCTGGGGTACAATAACTGTGTGAGATTGTGGTGATCAGACACACAGTTGTCACATATGGACAGAAATGCAGAAGTAAAACACTGCAAGATTAGCATCTCCCCAGAGATGGAAGCAGAGGAAGGGTCTGGAATGCAAAGACAATGTGAGGGAGAGTATCCYTCTGCCTAGAATCTTTTTGGAGAGATACTGGCTGTGAGTTACTGATGTGAACTAACAGGATGAAAAGTCCAGAGCAGCCCCACCTCAGTAATAAGATGAAAGCATAAAAATATGCCAAGAGATGGCTGATTAGCTGGGTTAAATGCCTGTTCCATCTCTGCTGAGCAAAATACCAGATTAACTTCTGTACAAGAAGAGATGCCTTGKGAGATTTTTGACACTCTAAACAGGTTTCCTTGGTTATTAGTTACTAAAGCTCAAGCAGCTTCTCCTTTATACTCCTCTAAAAGCAAGAGGGAGAATTTGCTCACATAATGGCCTGAAAGCATGGATGCATTTTATTTTTGTGTGGATACTGGCTCGAATAGAAGCACAGCTCGGCTGCAGCTGATGGGAGCGCTGGGAATTGCTCCAAGGGCACTGCYTGGCCTTTACTCCTCCACTCTGGCTCCAGCACGGGCAGCATCCCCTGATGTGTGATGACAGGCAGGATCTGTGAGCTCTGGAGCAGCCGGGGCAGGGAAAGGAGGAGCCACGATAATGGTGAGGGACGAGCAATGCCTCTGCAGCTCCTGGCAGTGGCTGAACACAGGAAAAACCAAAGGGGAACATTTCCCATTCTGGGGACACCCAGGAGCCATGCCCTGCCTCACGCTGAAGCAACCAGCACATTCATTGCTCCTTGTTCACTGGTCCTTCTTCCAGGTGGTGACGTTGGCTGGAGCAGTGTGTATTCCCTCTCCAAGGCCAGCCAGATTTATGTTACATTATTTGTGKAAAAGCATCGAGGAGCTCTAGGCTCTGGGTCATTACCTGCTAAAGCATGACCAGTTCAGGGGCAGATGGCTTGAAAGGGTCCTGAAGGCCTATTTACTACTGTCAGAGCAGGGCAAATCTTGTCCTTCAGGCACCTTTCCTCCCACAGACTGAGCTTCTGCAGAACATACATTTTTATAACAAAGAAGTCAATAGTCCCTGCATCCTACTTTTACACAGTTTTTAGCTGCTGGGAAGAACAGGAAAGATGGAATACGAGTCAGACCAGGATCTGTAAGGGACCTGTAAACCAGGCTGCACAAGACATGGCTCTGTCTTTATCAAGTGCAACCTGGATACAGGCATTCATTGTCCATGCTCCTCCATCACGGGGGTGTCTGCAAGCAACTCCCAAACAAGGATGCAAAGACAGGAAACGATCCCCTTTTCACTACCTCCGTACATTCATTCTCACTTTCAAYAGAAGAAAAGCTGCTTCAGATTCCCGTTGAACTGTTTTGCATKTTTTTCAGGAGACACAATTAAGACTGGTTTCTGCTGGCACCAAAAACAGAGTATGTATGCAGTCAAGTGTACTAGTAACACATGGCTCTGCACTTTAAACTAGCTTCACTATTCCTTGGCAAGCATT